AAATGCATAGGGAAAATACAAGCGAATGAAAAATACTTTGAGCAGCTGCTGAGCTCTATCGATCCACAGATCTATGATCTTTGATTGAAAACTTCTATTCAAATGGAGTAAAATTCTCTTAGCTATAAGTTTCGATAAATGTTAGATATTGGCATATTGTATAGCATATTGCTATTCCATGTATGCATCTAATAAAACTCTGCAACAATTGCTTTGGTTATTTGGTCGACTACGTGCCGACGCGTCATGCGGCGGTGGCCCTCGGCTTTGGCTTTGGATTGCGGTCGCACACTCACATGCATCCATTTTGTATTATTTGTATTACCCCTCACCTAGGCACTAACAGCATTCAACAACAATTATTTACGCGTAGTAGAAACACTTTCAACTCGCCATAATAAATCATAAATCGATTATCACGTTTATTATTTAAATACCGCCTCGAACTGCCACTTATCTAAATCTAATATATATGTACATATATGTACTGTACATCATGTATTTGCCATCAATCATTAAAGTTGTCATCTTCAAAGTCATGCAAACAATATCTGGAATCTTTAAACTTGAATCTTGAACTGTTATGCAATCGACTGCCCCTTGGCCCATACATACATATATGTATGTATGTATCTGTAGCCTATGTACCAGACGATTGCATCTTTACCTCCTTCTCTACCTCTTTCTGTGTGGCATCGGGTAATAGCTCACGTAAACATGGGGGTATGCCCATCACATACATAATCACTCAATACCCGGCCATCACTCACTTGCAGTTGCACTGAGAGTTAGGTAAGTTCTCCCATCCTCTGTATTCCGCCTAAATCCTTCCTTCCTTCCTTCAGGTGCTCTCTTCCCCCCTCTTCCGCACCGAAAATCAAGTTAAATCTCTCCATTGTTTTCCAGTCAAGGATTTTGGGAGTGTGAGTCAAAAGTCCTGCGCTGAGTTGGAATGAGTGTGCGACTGAGATCCTTTCGGGCAGCAGAAGGCAGCAGTAGGGGGTTGGTTTAATGGCCTTTCCATAGGAGCACCCAAAAGTGCCACAGTGCACAGTGCCGGCTAATAAGTGAAGTATCCATAATTGTTTGATGGCCGTCATCCTTCCTCACACAGAGAGACAGAGACGGAGAGAGAGAGACAGAGACAGAGTCAGAGTGGGTGAGAGAACACAGAAGAGAGTGCACTTTGCAGTGTGCGATGGGGTGGGGTGGGGTGGGGTGGTGGTGTGTATGGTGTTTAGGTAGGCGTGGCACGTGTCCTAACATTTTGCTAACCAAAAATCATAATTCAGAGCCCCACACACACACACACACGAAGAAGACGAAGGCAGAAGGATTGTTGTGGCAACCCGAAATGGAACATTTTGGAATTGGACAATGTTCTCCTATACACACACACACACACACACACACACACGCAGACACACACATGTGTTTGTGTGTGTGTGGATTGGGATGCGTGACTTGCATAAGTGCAGGATGCGCGCGCGCTGCACTCACACACACACACACACACACACAGAGCCACAGTCACAGCCACACAGGAACCCAGTGGGAACCTCAAGGAGCTCTCCTGCCTTTGCAGCCCTCGCGCGTCCACAAAGAGGGGCCCCCTCAATCAGGGGCGCGCGCTGGCTGGGGCCTGCTGCCCCCTTTCGTAAATCGTGGAAAATATTCGGCAGTCAGGCAGGGCAGGGCAGGCAGCCGCCAAACCATTAACACGATGTGGGGCGGCGGCCATGACGACAACGACGACGAAAGAGCGAGAGAGAGAGTGAGAAATGCTTCGGTACTAATTTTTTTTTTTCTTTTTTCTTTTTTTTTTTTAATAACGAAGTCTCTCTAGGGGGGTGGGGGGAGAGTTCCGACTACCATTGACTATATATATATACCATATTGATATATGGTATATGGGAAATATTTCCATATATATATATATGCACGTACATATGTATGTATATTCCACATGCATGAAAAAAAAAAAAAAATTGCCACAGACTGGGTTTCTGTTTCTACTTCCGCTGGTTCTTGGGCTCCTTGGGGGTCTTATGAAAAGAGGGTGAACGGATTTTGGCAGCTAACCGAAAAATGCAATAGAAGAGAGACAGAAAGACAGTGAGAGAGAGCGATAGAGAGACAGATAGTTATATGGGGAAGGAGTGAACTAGAAAACTTGCAAGAAAATTATAGAAACTGAAAGTCAATTTTGAAGACCTCAAAGATTAAAGATTGTGGCAAGAAAAGAAAACGAACGCTGCAACGCTGCAGATGGGAAACCAAAATTTTAAAGTTGTTTACAAAGCAAATATCAAATTGCAATAAATAAAAGGTCTCGAAAAATGACAACAAAATGCAAATAAAATCCAATGAAATTTCCCATTTAAATGTGTGTGTTTTTTGTTGCGGCATCAAAAAATAGTTTAGCACTTCCATTTGCTGATAATTTCTTGAATTATTCTGTGTAAGTAAATATTTCTGACATTTAATTCATTCAATTTAATTGCCATACAATTTGGGCATTTATTTTAATTGAATGCCAATTTACGTTTGGAAAGCCAACACGGAAATTATTAAACATAATACGATAATACCGAACAGAACCGAACCCATAGATTGATGGAAGGTGTTCAACTGGAAAAGGTTAATTGTAAGCCTGAGAATTTGAGCTGCACATGAAATTGCGGCTTGGGTTGGCGTTGGGGTTGGGGTTTGTGTTTGTGCAAATAGCTTTCAAGTATTGTATTTCTCATTGTTATCATTATTTACTTGCCGGCCCAAAAAGGGCAAAAATTTAATAGTATTTGAGGGCAGGGAATTCCTGCTGTAGAATCTCTTGTTTATTTAGCTTATGCTTTTTTTTTTATTAATTTAAGAGACACCACTTTCACATGCTCTTATTATTTATTATTTATCCTATTCCCAATTTGACTTAATTTCTTGTCCCTACTTTAATCAAGTTTTTTCCCAAATATCTTGTCAATTAGGGGTATGTTGGAATGAGCTTAAGATTTATGTATGTAAACTTCTAAAAACGAAGCTAGACTTTGGCATGGGTTGCTGCATGGTGGTTGTGCTGCCACAAATCAAAGTGTAACGCGGGGTTGCTTCAGCGCGAAGCCTTAATCATCATCATCTGCATATGCATCCGCATTTCCAGAGAGAGAGAGAGAGAGAGAGAGAGAGAGAGAGAGAGAGAAAGAGAGAGAGAGAGAGAGAGCGAAGAATGGTATGTGGTTTATAAGAGGGAATGAAGGCGAGTAGTGTGTGTGTGTGTGAGCAATTTTGGGCAATGGACACGACAACCATTGTTAGCCCTGTGTTGGTGTAGCATTACAAGTTGTTGTAGTTGTTGTGGAAACTTCTATTGGTGTAGTTTTGGTTGTTATTGCCTGGTTTAGTATTGTTTAATGCTGAAGCATTTTTTTTGTCTTTAGCTGTTGTTGAAGTTTTAGTTGTTGCTGTTGGTGAAGCATTTTTCAGCTGTTATTGGACCTGTTTTATTGTAGCTGTGCTGGTGATATTGTTGAAGCTGTCATTGGTGTTTGTTGATGTCCATAGCTGTTGTATTTTTTGTTCCTAGTAGTTGTTGTTGTTGTTGGTGTAGTATTTTCGCCTTTAATTTTTGTTGTTGTGCTAGTTTTTGGTTTTTTTTTTTTTTTTTTTTGGTGTAGTGCGTTGTTTGCTTTATGTGTATGTACATATATCCGTTAGCAATGTAAGTATATGTACATATCTGTTGTTTGTTGCTGCAGTTGCAAGCAGCAGCATTTTCGGCAGCCACTGCGTAAGCCACCCCTTTCCTGGAAAATGGGGGGGGGGGAAACTAAACTAAACTACAGCAACAAAACATTTTGCTAAATACACACTGGAAATGGCAGCACCAGGAGCTAGAGCTACCCCTCTCACTCGCGCTCCCGCTGTGGCTGCCATCTCTGCTGCTGCTGTTGCTGCTGCATGTTGCACATTGGAAAACCTAAGCCCCGGACGCCACATCACACAATCGCCAACAGGCGAACAGGAATTGTAGGAGGTGTGGCAGCAGAGGGTCAAGGGAAAATGCATTCGCAGCGTTTTTTTTTTTTTTTTCTTCTTGTTCTCTTGCGCCGCTTTTCCGCTCAGTTTTTCTCGCCCATTTTCCCGGGGCCTCCAGCCTCAGTAGCAGAGCCCGGTAAAGCCAAACGAAATGACAACAGCAATAACAACTGCGATTGGGCGAAATTTTCGCGAATTTTTGTTCACAGAACAGGGAAACGAAAAGCAGTCGAGGGATACAGATACAAAAAAAGAAGGAGATAGATTTGAAAGAAAGGGCTAACCAAAAGGGAAACCAATAGGGTAACCGAAAAATTGTTCCGAAAGGCAATAGAAAAATAAATAAAGCTGCGAGGAAATACAAGCAAATGGAACACAAAAGTCAATACTGGTAGATAGCCATGGAGTGTCGAAAAAGTAAAGGAAAAGCGTTGCAAAGAGCATCAAAGATACAAACAAAACAAAAAACACCAAGTAAAGTAAAGTAAAGAACGAAAATAGGTATCGAAAACGATAAAGAATGAAACAAAAAACACTAAAAAAAACGATTTGAAACGATTGAAAATGAAGTACTCATGAAATGGAAGCTCTAAACGGGTCCAGTATTTATTGGCATGGGGAAACCCACGTAACTGGTAAATGTGAGAATGGAAAAACTTCTCAAGATATATGTAGCTTAAGTAGTAGCTGCTCGAATGTTCTTGGGTCAGGGATAATAGTGAGACATGTCAAATGGTTCTGTGTTCTGTGTCTAAACAAATTGTTCAAATCCAAAATTCTTACCCACAAAATGCAAATATTAAATACGATATTTGATGTGACATTGCCATATGTAACTCACCTGCAAAAGACAAGAGAGAAATAATTAGAAACGTATTTATGTAGGTTTAATATAAAAAAAAATATATATGTGCATGAATAGAACATTCCCAGAGGTTACTCCTCAGATATTTGTTTGATGCAAATATTTTCAACAAAGCAGCCAATACGTTTGCTGCTGCAAGTACAACTTTTATTCAATAGAAATCAAAAATGATTCCTGACGAGCACGCACAAAGGGATACTCCCAATTGCAACTGCAAATGGCAATTGTTCTTTGCCATTATGGGTGTATTTTTGCTGACCAATGGCTGGCAGTGGATCAATCAGATATTGGCAGCACTGCAACGCACATTGAAACGCAAATGGGTAGCACTTTCTTGGCAGCGCAAAGCCGCCTCGTTATTCACAATTGTTTTGTCAATATACCTATGTATATTTGGCTGGTAAAAAAAAGGTATGCATTTAGATTGCGAGACAACAGTAAGAATTATCTACATAAATTGCAGATGCAACAAGAAGAAGTATTCGTAAGTAACAAAACAAAGCTGCAGAAAATACACAAAGTTGTGAGTAGTAAGCGAAAAATATCTCTTGGGTGCATATCCATAACTATTGTTATTTCTTTTGCAGCAAGTAGCCTGTAAGATATTTTTGGCACAAAGAAAAAGTATCTTAATTATTGTTAAAACATTCTCGCAGATACAAACAAGCGACAACAAGTAATAAAAACACAAACATGGAAGCTGCTTTTAGATATTTAAAGTTGCAGCAAATATGGCAAGTTGTAAGTAGCAAAAATATTCACTGAATGTATCTAACTATTGTCATATCTTTGTCAGAAAGTATCTACGCATCTAAAAGGGGCCGGGGGATACGTGAAAGATGCAGTGGAAAAATTAAACATTATTAATTTTTGATTGGTATAAGCTGTGTGTGTATTTAAAATGAATGTATCAATGGATACATAGACACGAAAATAAGTATCTTCAAAGCGAGTTACTTCGGTGCAACGATCTATGGAACACTTCTGCCTGTAGTTTGATCTTTTGGCAGAAGAAAAGGCAAAAGGGGCAGATACTTTGCTGCGATATAATTTGTATCTTAATGCGTTGGATAAGATAGAAGTTGAAGAGGGAAAATAGTAGAGAATGGAGAGTAGGGAAGAGCAGAGAGAGTGGAAGGTAGAGAAGTACGGAGAGAGTGGAGAGTGGAGAGGAGCAGAGAGAATGGAGAGTGGAGGAGAGCAGAGAGAATGGAGGGTATCATAGTGTGAGGACAACAACGACGACAGATGGTCAAGAGGAATGTATCTGTATCTGCATTAGTAGCTGCCACTGCCACACAACTTTCTGCCTCTGCCTCTACCTCTCCATAGCCTTTGCATCTGCCTCTCTCTCTCTCTGCCCCTCTGCCTGTACCACCAGCACCTCCTCCTGCTGCCTGCTCCTACTGCTGCCACCTCCTACTGCCTCCTGCTGCTGCATCTACCTCTAACTCCACCTCTGGGATGGATATTCCTGCCTCTGTTTGTGTATCTACAACATAACACAAATCAAAACTTGGCTGAAAATGCAGGCAGGCAGGCGGAGAGAGGCTGTTGCCGCAAATGCTGGCTGCTGCTGCTGCTGCTGCTGACGCTGATGCTGGTGGCTGCTGGCTGCTGGGGCAGCTCTGCTGTCGATGGGGCAAGCTTCAGAGCTGCAACAGCAACTACAACAACAACAACAACTTAACTGAACTGAAGGCTGAAGCACATACATAACTAATAGATACATAAAGCCGTATCTTTTGGGTGAATGAACTGTAATGAGAATGTGAACCTAGGCAGCGGCACGGGGCACACGGGTGCACAAGGGGGCACAAAACCAGCGACGATGTTGTCGTTGTCGTCGTCGTCGTCTCCGGTCTTCGTCGACAGCAACATTCAGCAGCAGCAGCAGCAGCAATGGGCAGCAGCAGCAGCAGCAACGGGCAGCAGCATCAGCCACTGTTGGAGATGTTGAAAATCGCAACGCAAAGTGCGCAATTTAAGTTGTTGCTGTTGTTGCTTCTGCTGCTGCTGCTGCTGCTGCTCCATCGCCATTGCCAACGCCACATCTCCAGCTCCAGCTCCATCTCCATGTGGCAACCAAAAACTGACCGACGCAACAAAACGAACACAAAACCAAAACAGCAACAGCAGCAACAACAATCGTCGACAGTCAAACAGTCGACAACTAAATGCAGCACAAGAATTGGTTATAATGGGGCCAGGCCAACAAGTACAGTGAATGAAAAGAGGGTAAAGTACAGTGTATACTGGCAGCAAGCGTCTGGCGTACACAGCAAACAACCAGAGGCCAATAAATAAAGTGTACATATGACAGCTAGAAGGATGAGAAGGATCTCTGGACAGCTAAGAGCAGACTTTTGCAAAATTATTTAATTAAATTTAATTTAATTTAATTATTAAACAATTATGCGCTAAATGTGGATTAAAAAATATTTAAAAAAAAATAAGGCCAAATAGAGCAGAGGGAAATGCTAAATATTATACGAATTTAATATACACTTCCGCTACCATAAAAATGTATAGACAATTTATGTGATTTGATTTCTGCTCGAATAAATCTATTGCCATGTGGAATGCACTTGTCTGTTCGATCAAAGTCCCCCCACCACCCCCCAAATCGACTGCTGAAAAGTCACCCCCCCCCCCCCAGCACACACAGTACCCCTCTGCCTGTGATAAAGTGGCATCATAAAGCACAAAAGAAAACGAGAACAGAAAAAAGGGAAATATTGTAGGCGTGTCCTGGCACGCATACAAACACAAGCAACCAGAAAACAACAGCAAAAACTGCATTAAAAAAAGAAGAGAAGGGGGGGAAATGGAGATAGAGTGGAGAGAAGAGAAAGGAGAAGTAGGGGGTGCAGCATGGGTTTGGGCTAGGGGGTAGGGGTGTAGTAGGGGGTGGGGTGGGGTTATGGGTTGCCATTCTCTAATAACATATTGCTCAAATGCACGCAACAACTACAACAACAACAACAACTACAACAAGTTGAGAAAGTAGTCAAATAGAAAAGCCGGAGAAAGCAGGGGTGAAGCTCAAGGGGCAAAGGGTGGGTGGGGGTGCAAGTGAAGGTTGGGTTCTGTGCTGTGCTGTGTGGCAGCAGAGGCAGTGGCAGTGGCAGAGGCTGGGGCAGTGGCTGAGGCAGTGCATTGCAAAGTGCAAAAGTTGCACAACAAAATTGAATTTTTAATTTGCTTGCCAGTCCCAGACGCACACAAAGAAAGAGACAGACTGCAGGGAATGCAACAGAGAAAAGGAGAAAGACACATAGAGAGACAGAGAGAGAGATGGAGAGAGGGAGAGAGAGAGAGAGGGAGAGGGGAGAGAGAGACAGGGAGAGGGAGAGAAAGAAGAGGGGCAGGGTGAGTACGAGAGGACGAGGGTATGCAAATGTTGACGTCGAGTGTGTGCAAAAATAAAGAAAAACTGAAAAACACACACCCGCACACACACACACACACACACACGGCGAAACGATGAAAGTGAAGAGGCGGCAAAGGCCAAGAGAAAGGTGGGGAAGAAGCAGCGACAAAGGCCAAGAGACAAGGAGGGCAAAGAGGGGAAGCGTTGCAACCGGTAGGCAGAGGCAGGAGAGGCACAGTGAGAGAGAGAGAGAGAGAGAGAGAGAGAGTGGAAGGAGCAGAGCACAAAGGAGCAAAAGTGTAGAGAGAAAGCATTCAAAGAGGAGGTTAAGGTGCAGCCACGCATGCAATACAGTGAATGCTCTCCCTTGGAGGACACGCCAGAAACGGGTTTCCATTAAAGAACCAGTGGGAGGGGGAAAAAAAGGTACATCAAGTGGAATGCTCTCAACTGTTTGAGCATGGAAATATAGTGCACGAAATATTTGGCAACATCAGCGGAAAAGCTAATGCTAAAACCCCGCTAAATCAATGCTAGAAAATGCTTAAAATAATGCTAGAAAATACTCAAAACAATGCTAGAAAATATTAGGAAAAAAATGCTAGAAAAAGCTTAGCTAAATACTCTTCAATGGAATACTGGATTAATACTTAAAACAGTGCCATAAAAATACTAATCACTGCATCACTTTATTCACTGTATCTGCATATGTACATACATACATACATACATATGTACATATATGTATGTATGCATAACCGTATTCCGTCGGTAACTTGAATATTTTTTAATAAACTTTTCAACCCAAACCCAAAAAGCAAAATAAAAAGTAAAAACATTTCGTTCATTTTCATTCAATATTTGAAGGGAGAAATAAAAGGAGAAGACATAGCTGAGTGCTCTGAGCAGAGCGAGAGGGGAGCTGAGAGAGATATGAAACGAGAACGGAAAGAACGGCAGACAAAAAGGTGGAAAAAGGTTGCAGGGGTGCGTGGACCCAGCAACAAAATCAACATTAAAAACTTATACCACTTCGGGGCAGGGGAAAGCAGCAGGAGGCGGCAGCAGGCAAGGAACTGTCGAGAGTCGAGAGAAAAACTTGAGCACAAGCAAAAATCTCAGGTGAATAGAAAAAAAAAATGTGGGTAAAGGATGCAGGATGAACTTTAGACTCTTTTTATTTTATTTTATTTATTTTTATATTTTTTTTTTTAATTAAAAGCTATTAAAATATGTTGGAAAACCCAAGTTGTTTGGTAAGCATTCTTGAGAGTTCCCATAAAGAAAGGCAAGTCCTTACATAGACGAAAAAGGAAGTGCATGCTGGGGATAAAGCAATAAGAAGAAGGTGAAGGATAGGAAGTAAGGTCGAGTCTCAAAGTAGTTTTAGGCATAAATGCTGCCATACATTTCGCACAAAAGAAACCCAAGTAAAAATATAAAATAAAATAAAAATACAAAATAAAAATTACTAGCAAGTAATCGATAGCACAATAAACTACACTGTACATTTATGTACATGCCATGCCCTCTTTAGCCCAGAAACCAGTATAACCAGTTGACACATTTTCAATCACGCATGAGCCACGAAGAAAGAACTATTTAAATAATGATCACAGAATTATACTTCAATAATTATTATTTATATATTTAATAATAATTTATTTAAATATTTAATAATAGTTTTTTTTATATATTTAAAAATAATTTATATAAATATTTAATAATAATTTATTTAAATATTTAATATTAAATTTATTTAAATATTTAATATTAAATTTATTTAAATGAAGTAAAAAATAAAAATATACCTAGAAAGTCATCGATTTTTAATATATTTTATTTTTAATTTAAGATCCCGGTGAGGATTTCGTCTGGGTGGGTATGAAAGTTCTACAGTTCTATTGTAATTGTTTCCTTCCCTATATTTCCTATATTCGCTCAAAGGAATTCTCCATTAGGAGCCTCAAACAAAAAAACAAAAACCAGAAAATAAGCAAAAGCTGTAGGATGCGGGAAAAGTGAAAGAAGGAAATCAAATTGAGAGGCACAACAAACATGAAAAGCGGCTGGCAGTTTGGGGGGGTGTGGGGTGTGGGGGTTTGGGTAAAGCTTTGCACTTGTTCAGATACATATACACATACATATACATATGTATGTGCGTATGTATGTATATCGAAGTATATATAGTCCGATGGATACACATGGCAGAGCAGCATAAATATGCTATACATATACATATACATATATATCTAAAATGCAGCTACATATGTATCGGTATTCGCATCTGTATCTGTATCTGGAGCTGAGGCACTGCCACACTGCCTCTGTATCTGCATCTGCATCCAAACAACCGCGAACCGGGG